TCAGTATTTAAACAGAAACAATTCATTTTCCTCTACTCAGAAAAAAATCCCAAGAAAGCATAGAAAAAGGATTCATGTTAGGTAAGAAACAACTATTTCCCAATGCCAGATACTAAGGCTCAGGCCTACAAAATGCTGACTTTTACATGCATTCTTCATTCTTATAAGATGTAAAAATAAAAACCAGAAGAATGGCTTGGGATGAATGGCTACAACTAAAGATGGAAATTCAGGAATGCCCAAAAAAGGAAAAATTCCACTGTGATGATGTCATATGTTTTCCTCAGCATTTCCTCCTCCTGTTTCAATCCTTAACCTTTCTCTTCCCCTCCTCCTTACACTGCCAATCTCCATTTTTAGATGTCCTTGATTGGTTTTTGTCTTTCATTTAAAGGACTGAGCGAGCCTTATGAAAACTCATGTAGATCATCATTTTCCTGCAATTAATTAGTCAGGGTTCCTATGAATGCCAAAAGTACAAACATATTGTAAGTAATGTGCTTGGACTCCCTTGCTTGATAAGAAATAATGGGAACCAATGGTGGTGGACCATGCCTGGCCCTAGTGTCATGCATTCCACCTCAACAGTTATTCACCTCATGGAGCTGCTCCTGAGATGGACTGCATGCAAATCCCAACTTTTCTCTGTTTCTGAAAGGTATTTTCTTTCATTTAATGTTAGATTATTTTATTTTATTTCTTTGTGTGTGTGTGTGTGTGTGTGTGTGTGTGTGTGTGTGGTGTGTGTGTGTGTGTGTGTCCTCGGTATTGAACTCAGGGCCTGGGCACTGTTCCTGGGCATATTTTGCTCAGTTGTTTCAGTCTTTTTAGTAGTTTATTGGAGGTCAGAGTCTCACAGACTTTCTTGACGGGGATGGCTTAGAACAGTAATCCTCAAATCTCAGTCTCCCGAGTAGTTAGGATCACAGGCGTGACCCACCAGTGCCCAGCTCATTTCATTTTTCAGCAGGGATTGAACCCAGGTCCTCATTCATGTTAAGGGCCTATTCTATCACTGAGGTAGACTGTCTTTGGTAGTCTTTAAGACTGGGAGCAAACCTCTCTGCTTCCAAGGGCTCATTGCAAACCTCTGCTCCAGAAATTACCCTGATTTGTGCAGACATGGCCATTTTAGAGGTAAGTGGGTTGGTCAAGGATTAAGTACATTCACATTCAACAACCTTTTGGTTCTCTATGTTCAACAATGTCTCTTATTCTCTCTCCCTTTCTCCCTGTGCTCCCCTTTCTCTCCCTCGCCTCATTCTCTCTCCCCTTTTTCTTCTTCTTGTTAGTTTTTCCCTTTTGGCAGCTGAGCTTTGAGCAGTGATGTTTTTTGTTCCCAGAGAGAATTCCCAACAGAAAAGAGGTGCACATTGCTTATCTAACCCCAAGCAGGGCTCTCTTTTTGTAGGCTTCTTCTGCCCACTCACTGCTTCTTATGAAAAGGCATTTAAATTCAAAATTCACGAAGTCAGAAGTGAAACAACCTGACTTTCAGTTCTCCTTATCCATTTGCCCTTCTTAAACATGGAGGAAGCCCTATTTGGAAATGTGTGTGCGTACCAACACTAGGAGTAAAGGGCACTGTGCTGGAAGTCACAATGACACACTGGCCTATTTGTCAGAGACCTTGAGAGATAACAAGGATTGGGAGAGGCCTGGAAAGAACCTAACTCCAGTATATAATTTTCTCAAAGAAAAAAATTAAGCCCAGAGGGAGTAGCCTGCCCAAAGTCACATGGCTAATTAGAAACGAAGATGATTTTCATTGTGTCTTGACTGTATTTGGGTGCAGCTACCATGGTATCCTGAACATGGACTCACAACTTCCCCAGCAAAGTCAAAGAAACTTGCAATCCAAATGACTGGAGCTACTTGCCGGTTCTTGCATCCTCTAGATCCCAAAGCAGGATTCTTTTTTTTTTTTTTTAAAGAATTTTTGCATATGTTTGTTGTACAAGAGGGGTTTCATTGTGACATTTTGATACATGCCTATGATGTATCTGATCAAATTCACCCCCTCCATGACTCTCCCTCATCTTTCTCACCTCCTTGCAACAATTTTAAGGGATGTCATTGTTTGATTCACATACATGCCCAAAGCAGAGTTCTCAACAGTACTTTCCTGCAGAACCTCTTGCACTTCCCAATCACTTCCATGAAATCATGGTTAGGTGGCATTTGCATTCTGTATCTGGCAGTCTGTGGAACTGAAGTAGTAATGAGATTTGGGAGCTGAATTACCTGGGGTATTTTCATTATGGGAGTAAGGTACCGGGGTCATCACCAGTTAGCGGAAGTCTCTCAAAATGAGCCCCAAGGAAAGCATCAGAAATGTCACCTGATGTGTTCCAGGGCCAAGATGTTCAAAGCAAGATTATGCTGGCTATGTGCAAGAAACAAAACAAAAGTCCTAAGTGTATCAAAGGGCAACTTTTGTACTTAGAATTAATGAGACCTTTGCAACAATGTGGACCAAATGACTGAAAGTAAGGGGATAAAATGACACCAGAAAGAAAATACACAACTGACAAGCAAACTGAAGGTAGAAAAAGAGGGCCACCACATTCTCTGACTCTTCTATTAGCCAGAAGCTCCTCTTGGGACCCCTATCCATGCAGCCATGTGGCTCTGATGTTCCCCTCCGGAGAGAATGGATCTTTGGGAATTTTATACACATCGGAAAACTGAAGAACTTTGCAAGGTTGAGAAAAGAGAAAGCAAAACAAGTTTCAAATGAGAGGCAAAATTGACAAAGATGGAAACTTGTTAATTAAATATTTCATTAAATTCTTACCAGATAGAGGTCACTTTATACTAAAAGATAAAACAAGTTATAACCCCCCAAATATTTGTTTGAAAAGTCAATTCAATGTCTCTTCCCAGGCAGAAGAGAATGGACGAAGCAATAAATAAACAAGTTTCTGAAGCAAGCCCTATGAGAGAGAAAAGATGGCCTAATTCCCATCCACTGAATGTGGCAAAGCAATTAAAAGACAATGCAAGACAGCACCCAAATGCTTGGGTGAACTCAACCAGAGATTTACACCTGGGGATCTCAGACCCATTGACAATGCAAGGATTATAGCAGGGACTGAGAAAGTCTTTATCAAGATTATATTTCCCCAATCACATGAATATAATTCCTTACCTACCAGATGCTTGCCTTTCCAATATGTTTGTTCCATATTTTTATTTACATCATTAGTTGTACAAAGAAAGGGGTTTCATTTTGACATGTCCACATATGGTTATAATGTAGAAAATATACTCCTTCCTTTCCCTTCCCAAACCAATCTCAAAAAGTTTCATTGTTCCATTTCCACACATGTACATATTTTGAAGATATTCAACCTCCTTCATCCTCTCTGTTCAACCTCTCCCCTCCCACCAGTACCTACACCTCAGGGGGACCTGTTTTACATTCTTGTCATTCATTTTTTTTATTGTATGCTAAATTTTGAAACATGGGAAACAGCAAGAAATTTAGGGCCAATCAACAATATAAAGTGCACACAAGGAGAAATTTCGGGGTTTCCACAAAGGAGAATGAGCATAAAACGCCCACTCTTTAAACAGGAGGGTTTTAATTCCTCAGCTAATTTCTTTATGGCCTCCTGCTCTCATAGGCTTCAATTGGTTTCATAATGGTGGCTTAATTAGAAGAGCAAGAGAATGAAGCTGAGGTTTGAAGGCAGTAAGAATCATCACAATCTATGCGGAGTTTCTTTCCAGCTCTGACGACAAAAAAAATTAAAAGCTGATATTTTTCTGTGCAATACACAGAATTCAGAAAGAGAACTATCTTAACAACTTTGGGGCCTTATTTCCAATCTAAATGGAGCAAAACATTGTCATATTCATCTCAGAGACTGGAAGTACAGTTTAATTGAATTCATCCTCACATTTTATGAGGTTCTTTGAAATGTTATAAAAGACCATAGAAATGCAAATGATTCGCAGGAAGTAGAAGAGCTACGGCTGCTTGGCGACCCTGGCGGCAGAGGCGGATTCTTTCAACAAATCCCCCGAAGCACAGAAAAAAGAAAAAGAAAAAGAAAAACCTTTGAGATATAGGATCTTCTGAACTCCGCCCTAACTTCATTTCAGATGGAAGGGCTTGTTGGAATTCCATCTAATATTATCCGACATAGAAGATGCACAGATTCAGGATGTGTAGGGTGAAGACTTATTTAACAAAAACGAAAATGACCATTTCTGGTGGTCTGAGACACAAAGGTGACTAAAATGTAGCTGCAGTCTCCGTTTTGCTTGAACTTGGCTTGGATTCAAAAATCTTTAAAGGAAAAGGAAAGCAAAAACCTCGCCAAATCAGGAGTAAAAATCCCCAAAGCACTGTTTAATTTTTCACATTCTCACCGAACTTTTTTCAATTACTCTATTTTATGTTTTCTTTTCAAAACATCACATGCAAGTATTTGTCTAGCGAGAATGCCAACAGAAGTTTGTGTGTTTAACCGCACATTCCTTTAAAGAGCTATAACAAATGGATTTAAATCAGTGATATTTGAGCTGAAGCCTTGAAATTCATGGTTGGTCGGCCTGGACATGCTTTTCTTAGCTTCTGGAGTGCTTGGTTTTTATTTACATGTGTTTCTGCCCAGCTTGCTGCTGCTGCTGCTGCTGCTGCTGCTGCTGCTGTCAGAAAGAGGAAACACAACCCCATAGCTCCAGTTCCCTCCTTATTTGAGAAATGGCTGAGATGGCTCCTGGGAAAGGCTCAGGCTTTTGAAAATACTGTGGACTGCTCAGACCAGTCATCATAGCAACAACAGTTGCTGCAGTTTCTCATGCCAAATTCAACATCATTTTGATTTGTTTGCTCCCATTTCATATCCAAAAAATAGAAATAGTTATTTCTCAACCCTTTATGATTTAGTGTCTTTTCCTCTCTCTCTCTCTCCCTTTTTTCTCTCTCCCTTCTCTTCTCTCCGGCCCTCTCTCTCCCCCCTCTCCTTCCTTCCCTTCTTCCCACCTACCTCTTCTTAAGATAGGGCCTCGACATGTTCCAGGCTAGTCTTAAACTTACAATCTTCTTTTCTCAGCCTCCTGAGTGCTGGGATTACAGGCATTCACTGCGATGCTTGGCTCTTAGCCAGTTTTTAGAAAAATGTATGGGCAGGCATTTTTGTTGTCTGAAGTGGGGGGGGGGGGAGCACTAGTCCAAAAGAGTGCAAAAGATTTCACTTCCTTTTTTAAACTTAAGAACACAGAAAAAGAGCAATTTGAAAATGCTGCTGGGGAATAGAGTCACTTCCTGATTGCTTTTGTCAAGAGAACCCCTGTTGTCTGACATGTCTTCAAATAGAATGAAGAAACACCATTTATTTCGCCTTTCATGTTTAAATAATGTGGGGTTTTCATTTAACATCCTTGCTCCAACATTCCAGGGACTCTCATAGCTAAAAGGTTGGTGCCGCCCTGGTTAAAAGGTATTCAGGGTGTTTTAAAGATTCCTTCTATGGACAAGCTGCTTAAATGGCTCCGATAACTCCCAAATGCAAAGCTGAGCTTTGCATAAGAGCCCCCCTAGAGTATTCTTCTTGACAATGATACTACAACTTGTACAAATCATAGATATGACATCGGTTGTTCCTTCAAGAAAAGTGCCACAAATGTTCAGAAGAGAGAAAAAGGGCACTCATAAAATAGCAACCCTCCAATGTGAGAAGTTAATATCTCAAGATATTTGCTCTCCGATTCTTAGCATAATTCACAATATACATTGGCATCACAAACCTCCGGTCACATCCACCACCTTTGCCCCTACAAGCCTCTTTGTTTGTTTGTTTGTTTTTTAAAAAGATAAATCTTGACTGTAATGTGGAACCCAAGAGAATAAGAAAGCTTTTATCTCCCGTTTTGTCGCTGCTGACTAAAAAGAAAGTCAGCTGAATCTGATGGGGGAAAATTGCAGTCAGGAAACTGAGCGAGCAAAGCCCCTTTCAGGAAGTGTGTAGGTGACACAGAACACTCAGTACAGAGGTAAAAACATGTGACTGCCTGGCTGTAGGTCTGCCTTCCTGAGAACAATTTGACCGTTTTCTCCTCCAGTGGATATAGAAATAAGAGGAGTAGGCCCGACAGTGGACTTAGAAGCACTCCTCTTAGAAGCATTTGGTAGGTGGGAAACTGAGTTAACCTCATTTGTGCAGTTACCAATCCACTCTTGCTCTTTTTCTAGAATTAAGCAACAAAAATACAATAACGAACTTTATTCAATTTTTACCTATTTTGTTTTGGAATATGAGAAAGGCATATGGATATCAATACAGCTTTGGACAAAGCTTGTCCCAAGATTTGTAGTCTTGGTAAGCCTCTTAAGACCAGAGCCCTTTTATGATTGACTTGTTTGTTTTACCCATAGGTGTCCAGTGAATTAAGTGGGCTTGAGATTCTCCCATCTCAGCCTTCTAAATACACATAACTGGATGAATAAATAAAGAAAAATATGGATGATGAGCCCATGGAAAACCAGGAGTCTGCATTATATTTCTGCAATTTGCACACCTGAATATGTGGAAATTGCTGGATGTTTTCCTCCACTATCCTGCTTTCAGTCATTGGTGGTGAGAATGGAAATATTACTTACAGAGATTCAGAGCTAAGACAAAGAAATCATGTTCCACCGTACAGGCAGGCCCTTTGCTTCTGGTACTGCCCTATTAAAAACAGTATTTCATGGAAAACTTAGCAGGATTTGGATCTGTCACTTCCAATGGTTTGCTAATGTATGTGACAATAAGAACTAGAACGTTGCTGTCTATTGATGTCACTTACTCTCCTTTTCCCTGTCAATCCTTCTCTGTCCCTCTGCCATTTTTCCTACCTTTCCCATAAAGGTTTAGAATAAGTCCTCATTTTGATAGACACTTAGGCTTGCAGTATTTGTTAAGGCTTGGTGGTATATATCTGTAATCCTAACACTTGGGAGGCAAAGGCAGGAAGATAGAGATTGAAGTCGGACTGGGTTACCCTGTAACTTCCAGGACAGCCTGAGCTACAGAGTGAGACCCTGTCTCTTCCCCCACCAAAAGAATTACACCCACCCTGCTAAGAGAAACAAACAAACAAAGCTAAAGAAACTTTGATAGAAACTCCAAGAGCCCAATACATTGGCTTATCTGGAATTCCAAAAAGACTGAGTTACTGGAGCTGCTGAGTGGCCCCAGCTCCCAGGAATTTTCTTTCTGAGCCTCCCAGACTCCACCCACAGCCACAGCAGTCACTGTGAAGAGGCTTTCTCAGTCAGGCTCTCTGCCCATCACCAGGCAAGAAGCCATTCTTGGGAATAAGATGACAATATACTGAGAAGACAAAAGCCTAGTGTGTGCATGTTTCTGTCTGTCTCATTGTTGCTAGTGGGAGGCTGTTTGGAACTGTACATTCTCTACATATCAGGATGTCTGTAATCATGGTTCCAGAATTGCTGCTTTTCATTCTCAAAGACATGAGAAATTTTAGAACCCTGGTTTTGTGGGGAGAGATGGAGAAACTTCTTGTTCTGAGGGTTTTGTTCTCTTTTTTTTTTTTTTTTGTCAGTTGTGGGGCCTGAACTCTGGGCCTGGGCACTCTCCCTCAGCTCTTCAGCTCGAGGCTAGAGCTCTACCAATTGAGCCACAGCGCCACATCCAGATTTTTCTGCTTATGTGGTGCTGAGGAATTGAACCTAGGGCCTCATGCATGTGAGGCATGCACTCTACCACTGAGCCACCTTCCCAGCTCCAGTGTTTTGTTCTTGTTTTTCCTCCCTCCCTGCATAGAAGAGCTAGTGCAGGCTTTTAACTTGAAACTAAGAAATGACTAAGAATGCTATTTCAGTGCAGAAATTACAGGTGCTGGATTAAATATTTGTATTTCTCCATTTCCTGACCGGTATTTTATCAAGATCTTTGCCCAGTGTTCTTACACTTTGACTTTCTCTATTGGTTTCATATTAACAGAACTTATCTGAGAGTGGGGAAGAAAGGAGGGGCCACCTGGGCAAACCAAATGTTTGTCATATTAAAGTAATTTTGTGGGTAACACTAAAGGGAAAAATCATTTGGTTAAGCAAATTATTTGCTTTTAATCAAGGCAATGAATTTACTAAGAATTATTAAGCAAGTATTTCTGCATAGATCTAAATTCAACTAACTTTTTGAGGGCTTTTATTTGACATGACTAAGATTCTCACATATCCCAAGGGGATAAGAAATTAGACTTCTAACTTATAGTCCAGTTCAAAAAGGGCAAAATATTTCAGGCAACAGCTCTAAACACAAATCAAAATTGTCCTTAGTCCTAGAAGAGCTGTAATTAAAATACCAGCTTTCTTGCAAAATGAGGCCTCAGCAATGAAAAGAATTAGTAAGTTTTGTAGATTCCTAATTACAGAGAGGAATTTTAGACTTACCCCCAGAGGTCCTGACATTACTACTTTAATTTATAGTGTTTTTTTAAACTTTTACTAGCCAAATGAAAGTTTTAATTATAATCAAGCAACTCTTCATAAAGAAAAATAATACTATTGGTTCACCTTCCATTATTTTCTGTGCCACAGGGAATATTTACCCACACTGTTCCCAACCAAATATATTTACATAAAATTTCTTTACATAAAACTAGGGCTGAGATTATGATTATGGAATCACACAATATTCACAAATCCAGGTGAAAGCTTGCACAAATGGAAGACAAATCTCCAATATATAAACAGTCTGTGTAATAAAAGTATGTGAGGTACACTGAATTATCAAACTAAATCTATGTTGAATACTTAGTATTCATTTAAAAGATGGTATGTTTTTTATTTTAGCTTAATTTCTTAAAGAACATTTTATATTCAAATGATTTTGCATTTATAGAAAAGTTGCAAAAATAGCACAGAGTTTCATTTATCCCTAACCCAACTTTTGCCATTGTTAATATTGTATATCTGCATCATACATTTGTCACAACTAAGAAACCAGCAAAGAGAGATCATCATTATTATTAAAAAACTCAAGAACATGTTCCAGTTTTACCAGTTTTGCTGTTATATGCTCTTTCTGTCCCAAAATTCCTAAGATATCACATTGAATTTAATTACCTCTCGTCTCTTCTGCTTCATTTCTTTGTCTTTTTACATTTTTTCATGACCTTGGTAATTTTCACTATCAATCAAGCATTTTATAGGATGTTCCTCAATCTGGATTCCTGTAAGTTTTTCTTATTAGACTGGGGACATAGGGTTTTGGAAGAGGTGACATGGCCTACTCGTCAAAACATATCAGAGGGTACCTGATATCAACATGACATGACTGATAGCATTACCTGTTATCATTTAGTTAAGGATGTAGCTGCCAAATTTCTCCACTATTTTAATGTTACTTGTTTTCCCTTCCCTTTCCATAGTTGATTGTTCAGAAGGGAATCCCTAAATCTAGCCCACTTTGGAGTCCCTCATAGAGGGGATAATATCTGCACACATGATTTATCTGCTGAAAAAGACTTCCCATTATGGGAAGGAAATGCCTTTTCTACTTGGACTTTTAGAGAGCAAATAGGAAGTGACATTTATGTATTCATGGGAGTTAGCCAGATTTTTTTTTCTTAAACAATGTCATTTATTGTAGTGTTGATTGTCTTTAAATAAAAAATATTGTGTTGACTTAAGAGTTGCATCTATACATGATCTGTATTTGAGTCATTTTAAAGGGTGATGTTTTATACTCTGTGCCAATGGAAATGTAAATCCTTAAGAGGAATTGGCAGCTACTATTTTTCTTTTTTTTGGGTCCGGTCGTGGGGCCTGAACTCTGGGCCTGGGCGCTGTCCCTCAGCTCTTCAGTTCAAGGCTAGCGCTCCACCACTTGAGCCACAGTGCCACTTTCGGCTTTTTTCTTTTTGTTTATGTGATGCTGAGGAATGGAACCCAGGGCCTCAGGCATGCAAGGCAAGCGCTCTACCACTGAGCCACCTTCCTAGCCCAGCTACTATTTTATAATAATTCCCTATACAGATGAAACAAATGTAATCAGCACCAAGAGTACAGACAATAGTAAAATGTAATGAATAAATTAGGCTATAACTTTTAATATGATGCATTTTATTGTAAGTTTATGTAATTTTTGATAA